CGCACATCCTCCAGCCCCAGTTAAGCCTTCGGATAACTGCAATCCTAGCCAACATTGTGTCTACAACTTCATATAAGACTATGGGGAAGAAACCACTCAGCTAAAATTTCTGACCCTCAGAAACTGTGTGAAACAAGAAATGTGTGTTTCACTAGCTAAGCTTTGTGATAAATTGTTATGCAACATTATAATAGTTTTGCAGGAGCCAACTTGCAGGGGTTCCCACTCAGCAAAAGATGGTACAATCAGAGTAACAAAAAGAATACGTGATACAATTAATATGTAAAAATCCATGCATTCCTAATATTTTTTAAAGCAATAAGAATAAATGAATAAATAATAATGTTGGGAGAGGATACAGCCTTTCTTTTTTATTTTATATTTTGAGACGGAGTTTTGCTTTTTTTGCCCAGGCTGGAGTGCAATGGTATAATCTCAGCTCACGGCAACCTCTGCCTCCCGGATTCAAGCGATTCTCCTGTCTCAGCCTCCAGAGTAGCTGGGATTACAGGAATGCACCACCCTGCCCAGCTAACTTTGTATTTTTAGTAGAGACTGGGTTTCTCCATGATGGTCAGGCTGGTCTCAAACTCCCAACCTCAGGTGATCCGCCTGCCTCGGACTCCCAAAGTGCTGGGATTATAGGCATGAGCCACCACACCAGACTGATACATCCTTTAAAAAAAAAAAAAAAAAAAAAAAAGCAAAACTTTTTGGGCACTAAGGTTTGGGAAGTAACAAGGGCACCAACTCCTCACTTTGAAAACTGAAAAGAATTAAAAATTTTTTCTTTCTTGTACAAACTATTTTAGGATAACCAAATAATCCTACTTGAAAATAATAGTCCTTTACAGAATGATTCCAGCTAATGAACAGAGAAGAAATGCTAGGAATTCAGAAATCACCGTTTACAAACCCCAAATTGCAGTGGTTTTCAGTGTACAGCCCTAGACTAGCAGCATTACTTGGGAGGTGGTTTCATAAACTGCAATAGAAATGCAAATTCTCAGGCTATGCCCCAAACCTACTGAATCGGAAAATCTGGAGATGGGATAAAGCAATCTGTGTGTTCAGCAAGCTCTCCCCAAGGGTTTCTATTGCACACCAAAATTTGAGAACCATAGCCCTAAAGTAAAAAATGATGTTAAGCATTAAATCAATAATGAATTACATATATGATCAACAGAAAACTTTACAATGGGGAGGTGGCAGGGGAGGGGAGCAAGGTATTACCACTTGAGCGCTTAAATCAATCATATAATAATTAAAAGTATGAAAAGATATTGTGTGCCTGCTGACATATGATACAAAAGCACACCATACCATTTAGTATTTGTCCCCCCCAATCCCTGCGACCCAAACTGAACCCAGATGTAATCAATGACATCCCAAGAAGAAAACAGAAAAACAGAATGCATGACATACCACAGAACAACCAGCTTCTGAGACAAAGTAATAATGGGGGGAAAAGCAGGGGAACTACAAAGAGATATAATATACAATAAATGTAATAATGTACAGATCTATATTCATAACAAAACATCTGCCAGAATATATACTTGACTCAATTAGGGTGATTTAACTATGTGTGGTTACTACTGAATTACTATTTATTTTATAAAATGTGGTAACAGCACTATGGCTACCTAAGAAAAATTCATATTTTAAAAAAGATACACAACAAGGATGTAGGAATTAAATGACATGATGTCTGAGGTTTGTTTTAAATACTTCAACAAAGGAAAAAAAGTACATATGAAGTCTATATGGCAAAATCTTCATAATCAATAGAATTTGAATGACGTGATAAAGCAAATACCCTACTCACTAAATTCTTAGCACAGCACATGTTCACAGCTGATATTTTTGAATGTGCATTAGTTCTGTCCATCAGAAACGCCTCAGTAGCTGGGCGAGGAGGCTCACACCTATAATCCCAGCACTTTGGGAGCCAACGCAGGTAGATCATGAGGTCAGGAGTTCAAGACCAGCCTCGTGAGGATGGTGAAACTCCATCTCTGCTAAAAATACAAGAACTAGCCAGGCATGGTGGCGGGCGCCTATAATCCTAGCTATTTGGGAGGCTGAGACAGAGAACTACTTGAACATGGGAGTCAGAGGTTGCAGTGAGCCAAGATGGCGCCACTGCACTCCAGCCTGGGCAACAAGAGAGAAACTCCATCTCAAAAAAAAGAAAAGAAAACATCAAGACATGCCTCAGTAGAACTTGCTAACTGGTTAAGATATCCTGCATATATAATTTCTATTAAAATGACAGTATCTCCTAAAATTTGAATGTAACTTTCCCATCAGAGAGCCAAACTGTCATGCTTTTTCTTACTGTAGTAATCTTTTATATTTTAACAACAAAATGTTCCTATTGTACTGTTTTAAGTAATCATTGAAAATAGCAACACCTGCTAGTGATACATGAGAACCTTAATGTTACACTAAAATGGCACTTTATCCTGAAACAAAATATAGAAGCATTTGTGTAATAGAAAAAATAATAAATAAATAAATAAAATAAAATGACACTTTAAAAAACCCATTTTCTTCCTGGAATTTTTACAGTCCCTCAAAATAAGACTAAACTATATAATTTGATTACATTCTTTCAGGCAGAGTTCTTTCAACAGGTTCAAGTGTTCGAAGGCTAAAAAAGGAACACCATACTGAGAAAACTAAAATTATGAGTTTTAGTTAACATTCATGAAATCACGATTACGTCAAACATTGAGAAAATCCGCTGAGCACAGGTATTTTGGGAAGCTGAGGCAGGCAGATCGTTTGTGAGCCCAGGAGTTCAAGACCAGCCTGGGCAACATGGCAAAACCGATCTCTGCAAAAAATACAAATATTAGTTAGGTCTAATAGTGTGCACCTGGAGTCCCAGCTATTCAGGAGACTGAGAGGGGAGGACCACCTGAGCCCAGCAGGTTGAGGCTGCACTGAGCCATGATAGCAGCACTACACCACAGCCTCAGCAACAAAGTGAGATCCTATCTCACAAACACACACACACACACACACACATATTGAGGATATCTTATTAATTCAGGAAAAATAAAAACTTTATGTCAGAAGGGTAATTGTACTGAGAAATGGCTTTTCTGTATAAATTATTGTACTTTCTATGGTTTCTCAACTGATAGCAATTAATCACTCTAAATTAGCTGGTGGGCAAAAAAAGAATAGTTTAGCATTTTCCAACATTAAAGAACTCTTTTTTTCTTGGACGGAGTCTCGCTCTGTCACCCAGGCACACACCATCACACCTGGCTGATTTTTGTATTTTCAGTAGAGACAAGGTTTCACCATATTGGCCAGGATGGTCTTGAACTCCTAACCTCAAGTAATCCACCCAACTCAGCTTCCAAACGTGATGGGCTTACAGGTGTGAGCATCATGCCTGGCCAAAAGATTTTTTTTTTTTTTTTTTTAAGAAAAATGTGGGATTTTTTTCTACAAAGGCTCTTTAAACACAAGCATAGAATACTAGCTTATGCAATTAGATTATACAACAACTCCCTCATTTTAATGCAGAAACATCTATCTTTTTTTTCTTTTCAAGGCAGGGTTTAGCTCTGTCACCCAGTCTGGAACCCAGTGGTGCAGTCACAGTTCCCTGCAGCCTGGACCTTCTGGATTCAATTGATCCTCCCACCTCAGTCTCCCAAGTAGCTAGGACTGCAGGAGCACACCACGACAGCCGGCTAAGTTTTCTACTTTTTTTTTTGTAGAGATGGGTTTTTGCCATGTTGCTCAGGCTGGTCTCCAACTCCTGGCTCAAGTGATCCACCCATCTTGGCCTCTCAAAGTGCTAGAATTTCAGGCATGAGCCACCAAGCCTGGCCAAAACATCCTTCTAACAGGATTTTAACATTTGCCTCTCTGCTTCAAAAGAAATTCTAGCTTTGGGGAAATAACTGTATGTATATATAAAGCAAAGTTACCAATCTAGTAAATTAATCTAGCAAACCCTCCTTCTCAAATTTAAGTTCAGACTTAAATCAGATTTCAGATTTAAAACTTCAGAATTACTTTTTTTTTTGAGATAGGATCTCACTATATTGCCCAGGCTGCTCAAAAGAAATCATGAGCTCAAGGAATCCTCCAGCTGGGATTTCAGGCATGGAGCCACTGTGTCCAGCCAATTAGTCTGGTTTTTTTTGTTCGTTTGTTTTTGAGATAGAGTCTCATTCTGTTGTCCACGCTAGAGTGCAGTGGCATAATCTCCTGCTTGCTGCAACCTCCACCTCCCGGGTTCAAGCAATTCTCCTGCCTCAGCCCCGCCTAGTAGCTGGGACTACAGGCACGTGCCACCAGACCTAGCTAATTTTTCTATTTTTACTAAATACGGGGTTTTGCCATGTTGGCCAAGCTGGTCTCAACCTCCTGACCTCAGGTGATCCACCCATCTCGGCCTCCCAAAGTGCTGAGATTACAGGCATGAGCCACTGCACCCAGCTGGTATTTATTTTTGAGACAGGGTCTCACTCTGTCACCCAGGCTGTAGGGCAGAAGCAAATCACAGCTCACTGCAGCCTCTACTTCCTAGCTTCAAGCTATCTTCTTGCCCCAGTCCTTCAAATTGCTGGGGCTACAAGCATATGTCACCATGCCCAGCTAATTTTTTTGAATTTTATCAGAGATAAGATCTCTGCTGTCCAAGCTAATCTTGAACTCCTGAGCTCAAGCGATCCTCCTGCCTTGGTCTCCTAAAGTGCTGGGATTACAGGTGTGAGCCATTGCACCCGGCCTCCAATTACTCTTTTTGAAGAGGATACTAAACAATCACAACTAATGGGCATTTCTCCTCCCGTTTCTGTTCATAAAATCCATGTGAATATCTATGTTAATGTTGGTCATCAAAAGTCAATGTATAGCCTCATCAAGAAGTCAAAGCTAAATTACAACTATTTATTCATTATAAACTGAGTTATTCAATTCATGCAGCATGCAGACTAATAAGCAAACACAGGCAGGATTATTCTCACCTTTACCTGCTCTATATGTCTTGGCTTGATTCACTGGCATGGGCGTCATGGGTATTGGGTATAAAGGCTTGAGAGAATTAAAAAATATATATTAATATTAGGCTCCTATGATAATAAGAAGGTATTCTATCACTCTTAGTTTCATATTGCTAGAGAGCTAGGCATGAGGTTTCCTGACTCTCTATTAGTCATTAAAAAATAAGATCATACCTACAGCTAACAGAACAAATCCCAAACTACAGTAAATCTAAACCATCTTTTTCACCAGAAAACATTCTCTGATTTAGGTCCTTATACCTAACAACACACTGAACCTCTGCATGCCTCTCTGTTTAAAATGCATACACAGCTGGGCGCGGTGGCTCACGCCTGTAATCCCAGCACTTTGGGAGGCCGAGGCGGGTGGATCACGAGGTCAAGAGATCAAGACCATCCTGGTCAACATGGTGAAACCCCGTCTCTACTAAAAATACAAAAAATTAGCTGCGCATAGTGGCGTGTGCCTGTAGTCCCAGCTACTCAGGAGGCTGAGGCAGGAGAATTGCCTGAACCCAGGAGGCGGAGGTTGTGGTGAGCCAAAATCGCGCCATTGCACTCCAGCCTGGGTAACAAGAGCGAAACTCCGTCTCAAAAGAAATAAAAATAAAAATAAAAATAAAATGCATACACATACCAACACAACATCAAGTCACTGAAAACCTAAAGAGTGCTTGGTGTCAGATACAAACAATTAGGGAAGCTAAGTGTATATCAAATTCTATGACTTACTTGCACGCCTGGGCTCACTGGGACTGGATACATCATATTTGGTGCAAAACAAACAGGCTGAGTATAAACCGGAGTTGGCTGTTGATGACCCACCATAGATGGGCTAGGTTGTGCTTGAGGCCGAGGTGAAGTTGGGGTAGTAGAAGGCTTTGGCTAAAAAAACAACAATAAGTTCAATTATTTCAAGGTAACAAATGAACTATTATTACAATTTAAAGACTGATTTTCCCAATCTTTCTAGTTTTAGTTGCTTTAACTAATCCATTTTATTGAAAACAAAAACAACACAGCAAATTTTCATATTTCAATAAAAGAGAAAAATGTTACAGTAGAAACTTTAAAAACTCGGCAATTGAAAAATAATATAAAAACAGTGGCAGTAATTTTTAAGAAACTGAAGTATTTTTAAAAATTAAAAATAAATATTTCTTCTTATGATCTCAGTAGAATAACAGCACAGTCATCTCTTGTTATCTGTGGGGTACTGGTTACAGTACCCTGCTTAGATATCAAAGTCTTGGAATGGTCAAGTGCCTTATATAAAATGGTGTAGTATTTGTATACAACTTACGCATCACCTCCTATATATTTTACATCATCTCTTGATTACTTCTAATACCTAAAACAAGGTAAATACTTTACTATATTGTTTTGGAAATAACGACAAGAAAAAGTCTGCACGTGCTCAGTACAGATTAGCCTAACTATATTTTTGATCCATGGTTGGTTGAATCCAAGGATGCAAAACCTCATATGCAGAGGCCCCATCTATAAACCTGATAGCCTAGTTAGCCAACCATCACCAAATTCTTGGTCAGAAAAAATTCAAAGACTTGCCCAAGATCACATCTAATTGGTGGCAAAACAAAGACCCCTTTTTATGTCTAAAAACTATTCACTGCCGGGCGCGGTGGCTCAAGCCTGTAATCCCAGCACTTTGGGAGGCCGAGGCGGGTGGATCACGAGGTCGAGAGATCGAGACCATCCTGGTCAACATGGTGAAACCCCGTCTCTACTAAAAGTGCAAAAAATTAGCTGGGCATGGTGGCACGTGCCTGTAATCCCAGCTACTCAGGAGGCTGAGGCAGGAGAATTCCCTGACCAGGAGGCGGAGGTTGCGGTGAGCCGAGATCGCGCCATTGCACTCCAGCCTGGGTAACAAGGGCGAAACTCCGTCTCAAAAAAAAAAAAAAACAAAAAACTATTCATTAATGGCAATATAAGAAAAATAAAGAAGGTTGTTTTAGCATACGAAAACTAAATTCAGATGACAGGTATGGAAGAAGGACTATTATTAATAATTGTTATTTTTTTGAGTCTAGATAACCTCAAAGAAAGTAATAAACCTACCTGAGAGAAGGAACGTGGGTTGAACTCCTTTGCATTGGGATTCAATGTTGATTTCCGAACTTGCCTAAAAAAAATATAAAGGCCAGTGAAATCTACACGGACTTTACGTTGCTCTAAAATCTTCCATATCTGACAATTTTTTAAAAACTGCTAAACACAGATTTAAACTGTTCTCACTAGATCAATAGCCCTCTTTAGTGACACACACATACTTATACTGCCCATTCCTTAATCTCTTAAAGAATACAGCCATAAAAGAACAACTTATTTAAAATCTGAGTAATATACAACTGCTCTTCTCAAAGACAATAAAAAAATACTTTTCTTTCTCTTCACAGAGTCTCACTCTGTCATGCAGGCTGAAGTGCAGTGGTGCAATCCTGGCTCACTGCAACCTCTACCTCTGGTTCAAACAATTCTCCTGCCTTAGCCTCTTGAATAGGTGGGATTACAGGCACGTACCATACGGCCAGCTACTTTTGTATTTTTTAGTAGAGATGGGGTTTCACCATGTTGGCCAGGATGGTCTTGATCTCTTGACTTTGTGATCCTTCGGCCTTAGCCTCCCAAAGTGCTGGGATTACAGGTGTGAGACACTGCTCCCAGCCTATATATATATTTGTATTTTTAGTAGAGATGGGGTTTCACTGTTTTACCGAGGCTGGTCTTAAACTCCTGACCTCAAGTGAACTGCCAGACTCAGCCTCCCAAAGTGCTGGGATTATAGGTGTGAGACACTGCTCCCAGCCTATATATATATTTGTATTTTTAGTAGAGATCGGGTTTCACTGTTTTACCCAGGCTGGTCTTAAACTCCTGACCTCAAGTGAACTGCCAGACTCAGCCTCCCAAAGCGCTGGGATTACAGGCATGAGCCACTGTGCCAGGCCAATCAACAAACAATTAAACTGAAAAGACAGTAAATACTTAAAAAATATCCCTTAAAAGCAATTCTTAACATACCAATATCTTTTTTTTTTTTTTTTTGAGACAGAGTCTCACTCAGTTGCCCAGGCTGGAGTGCAGTGGTGCAATCTTGGGTTGCTGAGATCTCTGTCTCCTGGGTTCAAGCAATTCTCCTGCCTCAGCCTCCCGAGTAGCTGGGATTACAGGCACCCACCACCTTGCTTGGCTAATTTTTGTAATTTTAGTAGAGACAGGGTTTCACCATGTTAGCCAGGCCGGTCTTTAACTCTTGACCTCAGATAATCTGCCTGCTTCTGCCTCCCACAGCTCTGGGATTATAGGTATGAGCCACCATGCCCAGTCAACATAGCAATATTCTAGTATGCAGCATTTTTTATGTGAGAAGATATTTTCTACATGACATACGTGGAGAAAATCATGGCTCTAGAAAAACTTTGCCTCAAATCAAGAATAAGCAGTCCCCAATCTATCAATGAGCTGCATTCCAGCTTTAACTGGGTTGTTTGGTACCCAGAACACCTAAGTTAATAGTAGTTAAGTTCTGAGGTTAGCCCTTAAAAGTCCATTTAACTAATAATATACTGAATATACAGAATTAAGTCCTTCTTAACAAATCTAAACATTAACTAAAACACTGTTTCTGATGAAAAATATTTCGAATTCCAAGTAGGAGCACTGCATGCTTCTCTCCTTGACAGTGGCAGTTTTTCATCCCAGCAGCACAGTGGGGGTGACTAATGAGTGGAATCCATTAAAGAGAGGTCCCCTAAATTGGTAATTTTTCAACTCCAGTTCATTTACAGAAAAATTTTTCTTAATTTATGCCTTGTTTTTCTATCCTGGAGTGGAAAAAAGGGGGAGAACAGAAGAGTAGCACAGGGTGTAATAACCTAATTTACTTAAGATGTTACTTGTTTGGACTAGCTGTTTGTAAATTAAGGGCAATGTATAAAGCAGTCTAAAAGTCCAGATCGATTCTTCAGCTGGAAAGATCTAAACACATTTAAAAAAAAAGTTAATTAACAGGATGGTCTAAGTTCCAGGTTTACTCACTCAGCTGCGTCTTTCTTCTCTTCCTTATCATCTTTCTCTTGTTTACAAGCTGGACTGGAAGTCTGAACCCCTTGGGAAGTGACCTCAGGTCCCCTCTTGTGCTCCGTGTTACTAAGTATTGAAGGGGAAATGCTGGGGCTATTCGGCTTGCTGCTGCCACTGGTACAGTTGCTGCTGCTATTTTCACTGAAAGAATCCTTAGCATTTGGTTCAATTTTGTCTTTGATCAAATCTCTTGGTTTTTCTCCCTCTCTATTTTTGTTTAGTAGTTGATCCATAGATTCAGAAGTAGAACTTGGCTGTAACTAAATAAAGGAAATAATTTTAAATATCTTAAATCACTTTAGTAATTCATTTTTGCCATGAGCATAAGCAAAGTACTATTAACTATACACATGAAATGTTCTGAATAACATTTTCATACTTTAAGATTAATGCTTTTACTATAAAGCAACAATAACAGAATACCTATATAGCACAACCACAGTCACCAAAGCGCTCAAATGTCCTAGCCTCTTAAGTTCAGTATTTACTGAGTGCCTACCAGATGTCAGAAATTGTGGCTGCTGGGTGAGAAAAATTTGACATAGTTTCTAGCCTCCTATACTTGTCAATGAGTAAGATCACACACTTCACAACAAAATGAGTAAATGCTAAGAGATTTCATAGAAAAAGCAACCTATAAAAAAGAAAGTTTTCTTAATGGAAACATCTGCTAGTCTAAGGTATGAAAGAAGTTTAGGAGAGGTGTTTGGGATGGAGAATAATCTAAGTTAAAAAAAAAAAAAGAGTATGTTTAAAAATCCAAAGAAAAGAGAGAAGACAGCTATAATCACATAAAAGACAAGCACCAATGGGCTGGGCGTAGTGGCTCATGACTATAATCTCAGTACTTTGGAAAACTGAAGCAGGCGGATTGTCTGAGCTCAGGAGTTCAAGACCAGCCTGGGCAACACAGTGATACCCTGTCTCATTAAAGTAATAATAACAGTAATAAAAGAAAAACAAAGTATTAAAGAAAAGCACCAATGGCTGGACCAAGGGTGGAACATACATGTACAAATGAGTCAGAAAATGACAGACTCACCAAAAGAAATGTGACAATAAAGGAAATTAAAAGCTATGTTCGGGGCTGGGTGCAGTAGCTAAAACCTATAATCCTAGCACTTTCTGCTGAGGTGGGCAGATCACTTGAGGTCAGGAGTTTGAGACCAGGCTGGCCAATGTAGCGAAACCCAGTCTCTACTAAAATTTTTTTTAAAAATTAGCCAGGCATGGTGATGTACACGTGTAATCATAGCTACTCAGGAGGCTAACATATGAGAATCACTTGAACCCATGAGGCGGAGGTTACAGTGAACCAAGATCACACCACTACACTCCAGCCTGGGTGACAGAGCAAGACTCCATCTACAAATAAAAACTTTTTTTAAAAAAGCTATGTTTAAGACTTTGGCTTTTAATTCTCAGGACAAATGGGAACTCAGTGAGAAATTTTAAGTAGGGTAGAGTACTGAGCAGATTTATAGTTCAGAAAGATGAACACAGCAGCTTTGTGCAAAATGAACTGGAGAGGGGCAAGTGAGGATATGGAGAGACCATCGTGGAGACTGGACTAAGCCCTGGGTCTAGTGGGCTTAAAAGGTCAGAAGTAGATGAATTCTGAGTGAGATCTGACTGGACATATTGGTCAGTTACACATTCTAAATCCTTAAGTAAAAAAAGGAGACGGCAGGGGAGAGGAGACGGAGCAGGGTGGCCAAACAGAACCCTCTGGTGATCATTCCACCTAAGAAACACCAAATTTAACAACTATCCACACAAGAAAGCACCTTCATAAGAACCAAAAATTAGGTGAGTGATCACAGTACCTGGTTTTGACATTATATCAAGGAAAAAGGCACTGAAGATAAGGTAGGTAGTTGTGAATTGCGCCCTACACAGCCCTGCCATTCCCCTACAGTGCAGTGTGGGGCAAAGAAAGAATTCTACTTGGGGGAGAGACAGCAAAATGACTGTGGGATTTTTGCATTGAAACTCGGTGCTGCCCTGTCACAGTAGAAAGCAGCACAGGACAGAATTCAGCTGGCACCCACAAAGAGAGTATTTAGACTAGCCCTAGTCAGAAGGGAACTGTCCATCTCAGTGATTAGAATCTGAATTATGGCAAGCCCCGCCATGATGGGTAAAGTGCTCTGGGGTCCTAAATAAACTTGAAAGGCAGTCTAGGCAACAAGGACTGCAATTCCTGGACAAGTCATGGTGTTGTGCTGAGCTCAGAGCCGGTAGACTTGGGGTACATGTGACCCACTGAGACAACAGCTAGGGTGGCCAAAGGAATGCTTGTGCCAGCCTTCCCTGAACTCCAAGCAGGGTAGCTCACAGCTCTTAGAGGGAGGAATAAGTAGGGAGTGCTTTGCCTTGCAATCTGGATACTAGTTTAGTCATAGTAAAATAAGGCACCAAGCACAGTCCAGAAGCCTTGACTCTAGGTCATAGCTCCCAGATGACATTTCTAGACAAATCCCAGGCCAGAAGGGAACCCATTGCCTTGAAGGGCCAACTCCTAGTAGAATTCACCACCAGCTGACTAAAGAGCCCTTGTGACTTGAATAAAAAGCAAGGAGCCATGTCATATTGTGCCAGCTTCAGGTGTGACCCAGCACATTCCCAGCTGTGGTGGCCATGGGGAGACACTCCTTGAAGAGAGAGAAAAATAAAAAAAGGTTTTATCTTGCAAGTGGGTGCCAGTTAATCCCTGGTAAAATAAAGCATCAGATTCCTAAAGCTCTTGATCCCAGGCCCTGGCTCCTGGATGGCATTTCTAGACGTACCCTGGGCTAGAAGGGAACCTGCTGCACTAAAAGTGAAGAGCCAGTCCTGGCAGGATTCTTCACCTGCTGACTAAAGCACCCTTGAGTCTTGAATTAACATCAACGGGAGCCAGAAAATAGCTGGCGAAGGCCTTGGGTGAGACCTAGTACAGTTCCAGTGATGGTGGCCATAACAGTGCTTCTGTCACCCTTCCCTCAACTTCCCCCAGGCAGCTCAGCACAAAGAGAGACTCCATTTATTTGGAGAAAAGTGAAGAGAGAGGACAAGAGACTGCCTGGTAATACAGGGAATACTCCGAGATCTTCCCCAAGCCTACCAAGGTGACACCTCTACAGGGGCACAGCATTACTAGGCATGCAGTGCCCTCTAATGTATGTCTGGCTGCAGTGAACAAAGACTTAGATGACAATACTTAATTCCCTTTGAATAATTGAAAAACCTTCTCAAGAAGAATGGGGGCTGGGCATGGTGGTTCATGCCTGTAATCCCAGCACTTTGGGTGGCCGAGGTGAGTGCAAGGTCAGGCATTAGAGATCAACCTTACCAACATGGTGAAAGCCTGTCTCTACTAAAAATCCAAAAATTAGCTGGGCGTGGGGACACACACCTGTAATCCAGCTAGTCAGAAGGCTGAGGCAGGAGAATCGCTTGAACCCAGGAAGCAGAGGTTGCAGTGAGCCAAGATGGCACCACTGCACTCTAGTATGGGCAAAAAGAGCGAGACTCCGCCTGGGGGGGGAAGACCCAATGATCCATTGTCTACAAAAAACACACTTTACCTACAAAGTTACACATAGACTGAAATTAAAGAGTTAGAAAAAGATATTCCATGCAAACAAAAACCAGAGAAGAGCAGGAGTAGCTATGCTTAGATAAAATAAATTTTAAGACAAAGTCTATAAAAAGAGACAAAGAAGATTATTGTATAATGATAAACGGATCAATTCAGCAAGAGGTAATAACAAGTATAAATATACATGTACCTAATACTGGAGCGCCCAGATATATAAAGCAAATATTATTAGAGCAAAAGAGAGAAACAGATGTCAGTGACAGTCAGAAACTTAAAACACCCTACTCTCAGCAATGGACAGATCATTGAGAGAGAAAATCAACAAAGAAACATTAAACCCAATTTTCTCTATAGACCAAATAAACTCAATAGATATTTACAGAACACTGTGTCCAACAGCCTTAGAATATACATTCTTCCCCTCAACACATGGACCATTCTCAAAGACCGTCCATATGTTAAGCCACAAAACAAGTCTTTCAAAATTTGACCTGGCAGGTAGGGCATGGTGGCTCACGCCTGTAATCCCAGCACATTGAGAGGCCGCAGCAGGCGGATCACCTGAGGTTGGGAGTTCAAGACCAGCCTGACCAACGTGAAGAAACCCCTGTCTCTATTAAAACTACAAAATTAGCCGGGCGTGGTGGCGGATGCCTGTAATCCCAGCTACTCAGGAGGCTGAGGCAGGAGAACCACTTTAACCCGGATGTGGAGGTTGCGGTGAACCGAGATGGCGCCACTGTACTCCAGCTTGGGCAACAAGAGTGAAACCCTCCCTTAAAAAAAAAAAAAAAAAGGAAAAAGGAAAAATTTGACCTGGCACAGTGGCTCATGTCTGTAATCTCAGCAACCTGGGAGGCTGAAGTGGCTGGATGGCTTGAGCTCAGGAGTTCGAGATGATCCTGGGCAACATGGCAAAGCCCCATTTCTACAAAAAAATCCAAAAAATCAGCCATATACCTGTAGTCCCAGTTACTTGGAAGGCTGAGGTGTGAAGATTCCTTGAGCCAGGGAGGTGGAGCCAAGATCGTGCCAGGTACTCCAGCCTGAGTAATAAGAGTGAGACTCTATTTCAAATAAATAAATAAAAATTCAAAAAACTTGAAATCATATCAACCATCTTCTCTGATCACAATAAAATAACAATCCACCCGCCTTGGCCTCCCAAAGCGCTGGGATTACAGGTGGCTCACGCCTGTAATCCCAGCACTTTGGGAGGCCAAGGCGGGTGGATCACCTAAAGTCAGGAGTTCGAGACCAGCCTGACCAACACGGTAAAACCCTGTCCCAACCAAAAATACAAAAAAAAAATTAGACAGGTGTGGTTGTGCATGCCTGTAATCCCAGCTACTGAGGAGGCTGAAGAAGGAGAATTGCTGAACCTGAGAGACGGAGGTTGCAATGAGCCAAGATCGCACCATTGCATTCCAGCCTGGGTGACAGAGCAAGATTCTGTCTCAAAAAATAGACAAATTTAAAAAATAAAATAACACTAGATAAGAAGAGGAACTTTGGAAAGTATACAAATATATGAAAATTAAGCAATATGCTCCTGAATGATCAGTGAGTCAATGCAGAAATTAAGAAGAAAATTGGAAAATTCCTTAAAACAAATGAAAATGGAAACACAACTTATCAAAACTTACAGGATACAGTAAAAGCAACAGTAAGAAAAAT